CTTTGGTAAAAATTGATGAGGCAAGTTGAATACCAATAAATCAGCCCCGCGGGCAGCCTTGACAATATCTGGTTCCGCATGCAAGTTTTCTGGTAAAGTAACTCCTGGCAAATATTTCACATTTTCGTGCTTAGTGTTAATGATATCAGTCAAGTTAGTACCATCAATCTTCTCTTGGAAAACCCACATATCAACCTGCTTAGCGAAAATGTCTGATTTTTCAGCGGTGTTTTCTGCTAAAACCTTAGCAATTGTAGTACCCCAATTACCAGATCCAATCACAGCAACCTTGAATGGACTTTCTGGCTTTAACGATTTTTCAGCACTAAGCTGATTAGGACGTAATATATTAGATAACTGTTGTAATCTTTGATTGGCTCTATATTGTGACATTGGAATAGTACTAATTTTTTCTAACCGGTTTAGTGTTCTTTTTACGATTACCATAACTACCCAACTTTTTGCATAGAGATATCATCTCTATATATACTAGTACCCAAATATTATCTTTCCAGAGGCTCGCACGAGATCTGATCGCATGCCGAGGATCATTTATTCATTTCTTTTTAATTGCAAAATATGTGTCCCAAAACATGACGTGCGGTATTGGTGTTTGTTTTACTCCTCTACCACGACACTAGTGCTCTGACGACATATTGACTTGTTGTTTGGAGTAGTTTATGCCGTATTCACCATATATACCTCAATGGTCTAGTAGTAGAGTAGTAGGTAATTTACAACTGACACAAATCCGCAGGGTTGTTCCGAGAGATGACGGGGGAAAACGGGGCAGTTTGAATTATTTGTTAAACGCTTATCGGACAATGAAAAGAAATTCAAGAAAATCCTCGGTCGCAGAGGATCCATTTGACCGACGGAAGATTCAATGATGTCAGATTAGGTCTCAAGACAAGATATTAGTGCAATATGATGTCAGTTATAGTAGAGGTTGGGAAATTTGAGAATATGCCTTATCGGATACACGGGGAAATGCTAGAGGTGCAGTACGGGCATAAGATAAATTGAAATGAGGTTTCGATTTACTGGAAATGGCAAAGGAGTCAAAAGCTGCAAATCATAATGCCAAAAAGAGAAATGGGGTTGTAAGTAGATAATTTAATTAATTGAATGATTGTGAAATTTCATACCTTGATAGAATATTCTAGGTGTGACAAGACATTTACACGAGAAGCACTGTTATTATTGCAGACTATTTTGTAGAGGACTGTAGAAGGTATTGCAAGACATAATTGTGGAAAGTACTGATGACATAATTATAAGACATAATTATAAGACACGATTATAAAACAGTTGTACTACACGAAATCGAATGTTTCGAGTACCTTCAACTATTGTATACTTCTGGCCAGAAGACCACGATTCAGGGTTAGAGCTGGATGTAGTAGTATGTTGTATATTATGGAATTCATTACATGTGTGTAGAGCAGGAAAATTCTAAATAGATTAAACCAGTATTGTACAGTTAGCCGCCAGTCATATGAGCTTTTTCGTCGGGATTTATTTACCAGTCGCTCCCAGAATTATAGTTCTGCAGGGTCGGCAATGAGGATTGGTTGGATCGATGTAGGTAGTTTAGGTTCTCGACATACAATTTTCTGTCAGCGTTCCTCTTACATGTTAACGTACCCGAATGTCTCTTCAAAGCATCTTTTCTAGCAAAACCTTTACCGCAAAGCTCACATATATTAGGGGGTATGGACAAATGTTGTTTTTCATGCCTCTTCAAATCAGAAGAACGTCTGAACGACATAGTACATTTAGAACATAAGAACTTCCTATCTTCGTCTTCTTTTCCGCTTTTGTCCAGTTGCGAGTTATCCGATAGCACGGACGTTGAATTTTCGTCTGTTGCGTGAGGTATAGTTTGTTCTTGGTTATGCGCTGCTCTTGACTCTTTCAGCTCTAAGTGTAGAGGCTCACCTATCAAGAAATTCCAATCTTCATTTCGAGCAGAATGAGGCTCTGGTCTTTGATGCTGATGATCGAGGATATCAGCCCCACCAAATTTGTTCTCAGAGAATATGTCATTACTCAAATTTGGAAAATTCTGGTAGAAATCCTGAATCATTAGTTGACCGTTTTCATTGGCTCTTATTTTGTCCGATCGCCTTATAGGATTTCCATGAGGCGACGAAACGTATTGTAATCTTGTCAACAAGTCATGAATCGTTGGATCAACCAATAATCCATCCGAGTTGTTCTTCGCAGCGGTAGCCGTGGCCACCAACGCTTCTCTAGCCAACCGGAGAAATCGTTCATCTTCGTCACTTTCATTATGTGACTGAGACCGCAGCATACTGGCCGAGCTGGGGGCCTTCGACGCCAGCAGATAGTCATTCAGCGCGCTGTAACTCCTAGTATAGCTCAAATTTGGCTCAACCGCACCCAGGCGCTGCCCTGGCATAAATAATTGTGATTCCAAGCTCGAGTTCTTCAATTTCTTGGTTGGGGGTGAAGCACCCGTAATGTGTGCAGCTGGCTGCTGTGCATAAATAGAATAGCTCATATCGCTGTTGCTCTCTCCCAAATGTGGATTATCATTAACACGTTCTTGAAATACACCACCAGTCCGTCCACTAGTGTTCTGCAATGATTGTGTGCTTTTGGAACGTCTATATCGATATTGGTCCATCAGGTTATATCGACTTTTTTTTATGCTTACCTCCCCAATTATATATATATATACCCTCTCTATTGGTTTCTTGTCCTGTTATTGTTCTCTGATTGCAATATATCAACACCGATTGACAAATTCTCCCGTTTACTAATATTCAAGCCACAGTATGTATTTTTCAAAAAAATGGTGTAAATTTGGCTTCCTAGCTTCAGTTCTTCACTTTGTTCGTACCTCCGCCAGTTTCTCACTTAATACAGTATCTCTATTGGTATAACGTGCTTCTTTCTCTAACAATCGTCCTTCAATTGTGCACTATACCTGTTTGTACTTCTGTTAACGTGTTTCGTTTTGCCTCTGAAAATTAATGCTACTATTTTCCTTCTAACTATAATTAAAACTTCAATGACATGCTCTGACTACCTATAATCATACCTAGGCCTGTCTGACTGTCTTACTTATAATTTCCACAACTGGTATTGCCTCTACTCTTGTCTGCCAATAGGTAAACTGTGGATTTCTTAGACGCTGTATCAAGACGGATTAACCTTACAATCCAATTGCAACATCTTATCACGTGACATTCAGTAATCTCGCGCTGCCACGAAGCATTATCAGGTGATGGATCAGCATGCGGGTAATTGCGGGTTTGGGGGGATTCAAGAATTGCAAGAATTGCAGGTTATGACTACGATGTATGGATGTTTTACATTGGAGAAATTTACAGGTTACAGGCGGCTATATTCGTCTCTCTTCTCGTTGTAGAAAAGGATTAACCCAGCGGTAAGTGAAGTAGTAGCATGACGTACCAGGACTTACCATCGCGTCAAAAATCACAACGTCTTCTCAATAGGATGAGGAGCCAACAGCAACAGTTTCAACAATACAAACAGAAGGCCAAAAATATCACTAATGCAAACGAATTATTGCCTGGGTTGAACGATATTTCCGATGCGTTCGAAGCGTTACCGTTGGATTTGATTAAATATTTTACGCTTCTCAAGGAGATAGACGCCAAGTACATCAATACGGTGCCGGTGATCAATGGGAATATCAAGAATTACATCGAAAGGTTGCATGTCAATAAGAATAGCGCGGCGGACATGAAGGAGATGAACAAGCGCACCAAGATCAACAAGTTGACGGTGATACGGGACAAAATACACGAGATCATTCCATGTTTGGAGGAGAAGATGCACGTCACGTCGGTGGCGACGGATTTGATGCACAAGCATCTTTATAGGATCAATGGGGACTACAAGTTGATCGTGAACAACAATGAGATTCCGGAGTCGATTCGAATCGGGCCTTTGAACCATCCAGCGATGATTATGGATTCTGCGGGCTCAGTGGACGCCAATGGCAACTTGTCGGCGCAATCGCAGAGAAGCGAGAGCAGAAGAGAGGCACTTGCGGCCAAGAAAGCCCACAAAGACCAATACGACGACGACGAACCAAAGAAGAGACGGGCAATGGGTAACAAGGAGGTATCTCCTTCAAGCGATGTTCCTCAGACGTCGAAACCAGCACCTAGCTCCAAGAAGCGGTCCAGAAAGGATCATGAAGAATTGTCGTCGAGATCCGACACTCCATCCTTGTCGAGTGTACTTAGCGGCCCTAACAAAAAGAGAAACACCGCAAAGCCTAAGAAAGATGAAAAGGATGTTGTCAACGACCATACAAACCCAGGTCCTGGCCAAGCATCGTATAACAGCAACGAGCCCACATATTGTTACTGTAACCAGGTCTCGTTTGGTGAAATGGTGGGGTGTGACGGAGACGATTGTAAGAGAGAATGGTTCCATTTGCCTTGTATCGGGTTCAAAAATCCTCCTAAGGGTAAATGGTACTGTGATGACTGTCTCTTGAAAATGAAGAAGCTCAAGAAGGTATAAGATGCCTTCCGGAGCACTGCATCTCTATATTGACCACATCTAGAGGGCATCATGTGAACACAGACATACCAGCAAAACACCGTCAAATGTGGCCATACAAGATGGTCCTCGGTCCTCGGTCCTCTTTCCCTGATCACGTACTCGATATCTAGATGTCCTATATGGTCTCTACTGTTACACGTTGTATATTAATTCCATGTATAGTAACGAATAATACTTGAATCTATGTCAGTCTGGCCTGTTTTATTTGTTTGCGGTTAGATGCACAGAGGTGAGCCTCGCTTGAATTCTATCCTACTTGCATTTCTCTCTACTTGCATTTGATCCTGATCGCCAAATTGCTCAGAGATCCTCCATCAAATGCCCCCACGCACAAGCAGTATCTGCAAGGTGGCAATGATAGCCATATATGTCGCTAGATCTGCATTATCACAGATATATAGTTCAGTATTACTGTAAAATATATTGAGAATTTGTCCGCATATTATTTTTTTCCCTCCCTTACGACTTTACCCTCAGTCACCCAGCCGATTTTTTTCTATAGTTCGACTAAATTTATCAACAATAAAATTAAAGGCAATTATCAGCAAAACTACTGTGCCCAATAATACATTTACAAATAGAAAGAATTTGTTAGTATTTGATTTCAATTCATCCAATTTCAAGTGGTTCAATTGTTTGTTTAGTTCATTTTCTTGTTTAATTTTCAAAAAGTTCGTCGCTCTACATAAATTAGTAAATACCATGCTTAAGGAATATAAGTTAGTCGTCGTCGGTGGAGGTGGTGTTGGTAAATCCGCATTGACCATTCAATTAATTCAATCACATTTTGTTGACGAATATGATCCAACTATTGAAGATTCATACCGCAAACAGTGCACCCTTGACGGGGAGCTGGTTTTGTTGGACATTTTGGATACAGCCGGCCAAGAGGAGTACAGTGCCATGAGAGAACAGTACATGCGTACCGGAGAAGGGTTTTTGTTGGTTTACTCAATCAACTCGCGTACCTCGTTGGAGGAATTGCAATCGTTCTACGAGCAAATCCAGAGAGTTAAGGATTCGGATTTTGTCCCAGTGTTAGTGGTTGGTAATAAGTGTGATTTGGAGATCGAAAGACAAGTGAGCTATGAAGAAGGTTTGAGCTTGGCCAAATCTTTCAACTGTCCATTTTTGGAAACATCTGCAAAGCAAAGAATTAATGTCGAAGAGGCTTTCTATGGATTGGTCAGATCTATCAGAGACGGTGGAAGTGATTCTAAGAAGCTTGATGCTGTTGGTGCTGGTGTAGCAGGTGGTAGTGCAGTAGCAGGTGACCCATCCAAGCAAAATGATCCAGCAGTACAAGATAGTGCTGCCGCTGGCGGTGCTTCAAACAAACAGAAGCAAGCATCCAATAATGCTTCATCAACTGCTAATAGTGGTAAGAGACAGCAACAACAATCTTCTGCTGCTGGTGGTAAAGAAGAGAAAGAAAAATCTGGTTGTTGTGTCATTGTCTAATTGAAACTGACCATAAATTTATAGCTTAACCAAATAAAAAGCTTTATCTCTATTTAATTAAGGCTCTTGGGATGTATTCGAAGACCTCAACTTAGGGAACTAACAAGTACTATAAATTATTTATTTTTGTTCTTTTATTTGAATGTAATGTAATATGTAGTATTTATTCTATAGTATGGAGGTACATAACATTCCTAGCCAAATAAGGAAGAGCCCTAATTGATGAAATGGAACACAATGAAGTGTAAAATCAAACTAGCAAATATGAAATCGCCAAATGCTCTCTCTGGGGTAACAAACTTGAATGGTTTTTCGTCGTTCACTTCAATTGTATCGACATCAACTTTTGTTTCATTAACATCTTCAATGCTTTTTTCTTCTATTTCTTGTTCGACTTTGTCGCTGCTATTGTTACTATTATTCTCATAGTTATATTGCAATCTCAAGCTAACCGTCAATACGAATTGTCCAACACAACTAATAAATCCACCCAAAAATGCATTGAATGGAAAATTTCCTACTAATAACACATAGATAAATTGTAAAATCCCCAATAATACTAAAAATGTTAAAAAAATGTCGATCAACTTCAATCTTGGTGTTAAACTGTTAATGTAATCTTTATAAGTAGTAGATACTGCAGAAATTAACTCATTAATCGGATGCCCAATTTTGCTGCCTGTTGTATGTGTTGCTGGTTTTTTAATTGAATCCTTTTTAGCCATGTTGAATGCTGTGATCTAGTACTATGGTGCTATAAAGTAACTATGCTTTGATTAAACGTGTTATTCTCCTGTGGACTAATTATGAAAAATTACACAAAACGTCACAATATTTTAAAAAAGTCTACCAAGGGAAGTTGAACTAATATCCTTTCAATCGTATTCCATTACACCTAACACGTCGGCATATCAATAACAATACAAATGAGTGAGTCACAGTCAGAAATCGAGCAGAAGAACAATAACTCGAAATTGACCAAAATTAGCCAGCCTCCTACGGTTAGAATAATACCGCCATTAAATTTTTGTCCAGTAGAAAAACAACTTTACAGATCAGGTCAACCATCAATCATAAATCAGTCCTTTTTACAAGATTTGAATTTAAAAACTATACTATGGTTAGCTAGTGAAGAACCACAAGAAGACTTTTTGGATTATTGCTCAATGAACCACATTGCGATAGAGTTTGTGGGCTTAATGAACGAATACTCGTATCAGAATGTGAATCCATGGGATGCATTGAGTGAAGAAACAATTAAAAAAGCATTAGAATTGATATGTAATAAAGAGAACTACCCGTTATTAGTATGTTGCGGAATGGGGAGACATAGAACCGGAACTGTTATTGGGTGTCTTAGACGTTTACAGGGGTGGAATCTTGCCAGCGTAAGTGAGGAGTACAGAAGATTTACTGGCTCAAGAGGAGGACGTATTATGGTCGAATTGCTTATTGAAAGTTTCGATATAAATTCAGTCCCAATTGACCCCTCAAAGGTCCCCGATTGGCTTATATGAATGATGTGGTTTGACAATCTCGGACACTCGTATTACTTGCGTAAAAATTGGCTTACAGAAGCTAAAATCCGGCTTCCTGCTGTGCATAATAATAGAGGTTTGTATACGCGGAAGGTTAGTTTCCAGCCTCTGTTATTCGATAGTTTTTCAACATTGAATTGAACTCTATGGTGCCTCTTATAGTTTAAACTTCATTACAATAAGATAATAAAGGCTGCTTTAGAACACTTAATTATATAACAGGCGATGATTCCTGGTTAAAGTTGCACCCAACTTCTAAGAGCGCATACAATAGTTAGATTTCAGACTCTGGGTAACTGAACTGGATCAATGATTTTCAGATAGCTTGTTACGATATTGACTGCAATGTCTGTGTTAAGGCTACATAAACACTGCCAGTCTATATGAATTGGTGATTCATTGTATCTGGGGTATATAGCAATAGAATGCGTGTTTTACACGACCACCAAATTTCTCGCATGCCATCAAAAATTATACCCCCTCAAAATTAATACTAGATCTTTATCTATACTTATCAATATTGCTACATAATTATTAGTTAATTATCAGCTTATATTAAATATATAACAGAGATAGTTAATTATCAAATTCAAACGATCATTTAAGTTACTTATAGAAGAACAAACAAAAAGAAATACACAATTACCATTAACATAGATATGGCGGGTACTTGTATTGCCACCGTTAAAATTGTCGGTGTTTCATCATTAGGATTATTGACGTCATCATTAACTTTCCAAACTATTCAAAGAATACCAGAATTAATAAATGAATTAAATACTAAGGTAAACGGTTTGTCCAAATCGAATGCTTTGGCATCGATCAGAAACATGATCAATTTTAGTAGAATCGGCCATATTGCGTTGAGTGGATTAGCAACCGCTATGTTGAGTATGGCTTTTATTTATTCACCACCGAGTGAGAAGCATCCGTATTTGATCTATTCGGCATTGGGAGCCCCATTGGCGCTCATTTCTATGTATTATCGTGGATTTGGATTGGAAACTAAGTTATTGCGTAAAGCAGACAATTTACATTCACACAGAGAAATAGCCAAAACTACGGATAATGTTAGTGATTCTGAAAATGTGAAGAGTGACGATGACTCGCAATTGGGTAAGTCGTATATTCATGTTTCGGATGAAGAGTCCTCATCTACCACATCAACACCAACTTCAACCGTGCCAAGTTCTCCTCAGACTAAAACTGTTGATTCCTTACAAGAAGAATTGTCATTGGAAGAAGAAATCGACAATGCCTTGTCCAAGAAAGAAATTATCAATGATTTAAACAAGGTTAAATCTAATTATGTTGTAGGTTCATCCATAGTTGGATTAAGCTTTGTTATTGCAACCATTGGCTTAATTGGAGACTACTATTTATTATGATTTTGAACTGCTACATTTATTGGTTACTGAGTTTTTGTATATTGAAGATTACCATTTAGATGGTACTTGGGATAATGGTGTTGTATTTGGTGATGATTGTTTTGTTACTATACTATAAGTTTTCAGATTTATTTATTAATATGATTAGGACGGCGGCCAAAATAATAATTGTCTCGAGGTGTTTATATATGACTACTAAATAATCATTTAATAAATCATGCTATGGATTAATGAAGAGCATTTATAGTATGGGCTGGGAAGTTGAAGATAAAATCTGAACTTTCCCGTCACTTCGTAATTGTTTCAATGGGTCATTTAAAGTAGTATTAAGTGTCCGAAGCAATAGTAAATTTTTCAATTTTTTGAAACATAGCTGCTCATTTAATGTGTTAAAGGTCTTTATAGTTTATTCAAATTTACATAATTTGCAATTAAAATATAAAAATATAAAAATATAATTATACGTTATTATAAATAATTAAACATATTCATTTAGTAATATTACAACAAATATTATTGAACTTATGAACGGATGTCCGGAAAGCTTTGACTCTATTTCTCTAGACAGATGATCATGAACGGTTTTGCAATCGTTCCATAGTTGAAAAAAGGCTGAGGTACTACATACAGGAATTCACGAACGTTTAAAAGAGAGGCAAAAGTCAAGAATTAGCTGCTCAAATTCACTATTGGATAACTGAATATATTTCAATTACGATATTCAAAATGTCTTTTTACGATTTAAGTCCTCTCGATTCTAAAGATAAGCCATTCCCTTTTGAAGAATTAAAGGGTAAGGTTGTATTGGTAGTCAATGTTGCATCCAAGTGTGGCTTCACTCCCCAATACAAGGAATTGGAAGAACTTAACAAGAAATATCAAGATCAAGGATTACAAATAATTGGTTTCCCATGTAACCAATTTGGTGGTCAAGAACCAGGTAGTTCTGAAGAAATTGCCAGCTTTTGTTCGCTCAACTATGGAGTTTCATTCCCAGTGTTGAAGAAAGTCGACGTCAACGGAGACAATACAGACCCAGTGTACAAATACTTGAAAGGAGAAAAACTGGGCTTGCTTGGATTAAACAGAATCAAGTGGAACTTTGAAAAGTTCTTGATTGACAAGAACGGTAAGGTTGTTGAACGTTATTCTTCATTGACCAAGCCTGCTTCTCTCCTGCCTACAATCGAAGAGTTATTGAAGAAATAGAGAAGTCCACTGGTAATGACTAATTGGTTTTCGTGCCACACAAAGCTCTGATAATTTTATTTTATTTATATGCTCATATGTTTTAATATATACGACTATGCGTGCATGGTAGAATGTATGCTTGTACAACGTTGTGCTAATTCAAATGCACACTTGCACCTTATGCGATAACATGTACACTGTGACTACTGTGACTACTGTGACTGTGTAGATATCTTGTCCACCGCATGATCTATGAAATGGCTATACGAGGGATGATTTAAACGCTTTAAGCTATATACACACGTAACCACAAACTTACATATGCATTGAACACCATGACACTCACTCTGCTCTTAATAAACTAAGCGCACATTTATACAAGCTCTATATTTGCATGCTTTCAAATTACAACAATCCGGACTGAATTAGAGGCTCAATTGGTATAATTGTGTCTATTATCTTAGTTCTTCAAGAATCTAAACAATTCTAATCTATGTATTATCATATGTTCATACCTCGTATCTAATCTTTTAAACCACATGTCTGTTGATTGCTTAATTCATCTATGTCTATTCAATGGCCTATCTGTCGTTATCTCAACCGTTATCAAGCTTATCCATCATTCCGCTATATAACCATTTCCTCTTGACTTCTCAAATAAGCAATAACCAAAACTACACACTCCATATTTTGTTCAATTCACCAATACTATGCAGGCAAAGATATACCCCTATTGTAATTGTCGTATTGCCCCTGTAGCTTGATGAGTAGCTTGCCACCCTTTTGGGCCAATAAATGCGTGCCGCTTTACTCCGCTAAAATCCGTATGGCATTTAGAGGTCGCGCGCACCCATTTCTTTTTTCTGGGGACTTCTAGAGTCGAGTGATAGAATTCTGTGGAATGTTGAGTATCGCGATTACGTCAGAATCATCTTATCGAAGACAATAGAACAATCACTTGTGGCGGTTATCAATGATAATTTTCCTATTTAGGGTGAGGTCGTGTGACAGCGGGTGATTTGGCAAAACCACTAAAATCACTGAGTCAATTTACTCCTATCCTTATATATCACAGAATATCCATAGTAATTTGTTTCATAGATTCTTCCAGCGGTTAATTTTTTTATAGATAATATCATTACATCTACAAGTGGTAATCACTATTTCACCAACAACTAGCAACATACCGTGCTTACTGTGTTAACTGTGTTTGAATATTTCTCAGGATATACGATAAGACAGACATAGGAGTTAAACACTTTGAATACTACGCATATAATATTGAACAGTAGTATTGAAGGATAATTTAAATATTGAAGATTGACGACCAATTTTAATTGATAGTGATTGATTTTGATCGCCATATACATTTAGTTTAAATTTTTTTACCCCAAGGAGTTAAATTAGTACGCAGTGCATTTTGGATCGCTTGGAATAAGTTGATCTGTTTTATAACCTTGGTTCACTGACTGTACATACATTGAGATACACCATTTAAGATTTTATTTTTTGATATCATTTCATTTACATTCGGTTGATTGATTTTGATTTTGCATTTTTACGATAACATAACGACACGATAACGACCATGACGACGACTAATACTGTTGCAAATAGTGCAAGTAGCACTTCTACCAACACATTCAACGAGTATGGTGCATATGAGAAGAAGCAATACTTGTTGAAGGATAAATACAAGTACATTGCGCCAATCCAGGAAGGAGCCTTCGGGAAGGTTACATTGGCGGTTAATGTTCAAACAAAGGAGAAGGTGGCCATGAAGGCCATGTATAAGGCACACGAGAACACCCGCAGAATTGCCAACCATGAAATCGATGTGTTAAGCAAGATTGGACGCAATAACGATAACATCTGCCAATTGCTTGATCACTTCGAAACTTCGGAGTTCATCATCTTGATCTTGGAGTATTGTTCCAATGGTGATTTGTATGACTTAATTCACTCTTCGATCAATATTTCAGCGGTTGATCTTTGGAATATCGCCAAAGAATTAGCCAATGCGTTGAATTATGCCCATTCATTGGGCATTTATCATCGTGATATCAAACCCGAGAATGTCTTGTTCAATTGCTTTGGAAGAGTCAAGCTCTGTGATTGGGGTTTGGCTACTACTGAAAGAATGAACAGTGAATTCAACGTCGGTACTGAGAAGTACATGGCGCCTGAAGTGTTCATTGAGAAGCCAGAATTAACGGAATACGACTGTAAGTACGTTGATTACTGGTCTTTCGGTATCACTTTAATTACTGCAATTTTTGGTACTTGCCCTTTTAAGCCTGCCGGAGAATCCTCTAACATTCATTCTGACTATAACTTCAAAAAGTTTGTTTACTATGGCAATTCCCAAATCTTATACGACATATACCCTACCATGAACGAAACCTGCTTCAATATTTTCATGAATTTATTGAAGATCGGAGGTAATGAAGATAATATATTAGAATTTAACGAGAAAATTAATTCGAGAAACTTAGACAATTTTATTCAAGATTTACAAGATAATTGGAAGTTTGGTTTGACTATTGACGAGGAGTACGAATTGGAACAACTTTATAATGATGCAGAGTCCGACAATTCTAATGACCTTTTCAATATGGATCATGATGACTTGTCTAACGAAAACCAAGACGAACAATTATCATTTGATACAAGCGTTGAATCAGAATCAGATTCAGACGAATACTTATCCAATTACGACAATTCGATCAAGATTAGAATGAACAATGAATCCGATCATCACAATGTTATTCCTTCTTTAATCGAATCATCGATTCAATCGCTGTCTTCGAAGTCTTGGTGTGACTTGGATGACGATGAAGAATTCAACCAAATCTTCAATGCCATGTCACTCAACAGGACCCAGAAACCTCAATTGGATATCGGCAAAGATAACTTCAAGAAACCCAGCCTTGCTGCTAACGGTGATATTGACATTTTGAAAGTCGAATGGAATTTATATAATAGTAACCATCAAGCCTATAATTGATTCTTTTATCGGTTGTTTGGTGTTTGAGTATATAGCTTTAGATGATTACTATCCAGCATAGTATTATGATCACTTTAAACTTAATAAATTTTTCAATCCAATACTGGTCTCTACATTGTAAGGTTTTCGTAATAATTGCACCCAATTGAAATGCATAAATGGTTATCTTTTTATGACTCCTCAGTGTTACAATTGCCGTATACATAATTAAGTTCTTTCTGTTGCATCATCAGCAATCTCAAAAAACCTTACTCACTAGTGACCAAGCTTATCTCGCCGGAACGGCCGCATACTATCGTTTCCCCATTCTAAACCTCAAAATCATGAAATAGCGGAATTTCATTTAATTGTCTACTTCTTCTCTCCGGCCCTGAACTATATGAATCACTACGTCTCCGTTACAGGCTACTACAGAGCAGTTGCAAATCAAGTCCTCTATGTCTATTCAAAGTAGTATTATTACCGTCTAGAAACATCGTAACTAATATAGACTACACTACAATATAAGGGGATAGTCTATACACTGCTAAATCCTTTAAGGGCCCATACAAGTGTGCAAATATACCAACGAATGTGCTCAATATACTACATAATTTGGTTCGCAGGGTAGGCTCCGGTTGACCGCAAGAATATTGATACCGGTTACGGTCCTGTTCCGGAAATTTTGACACGACCTGAAAATTACTCATAGGTGAAAAATTCTTCGACGACTTATAAATTGATCCAATATATAAAGAGGTATTATAATTTCCTTTACACAATTGAATTAAATTTCTTTAATTAATTAATTATAACAAATTATAGGATGTCTATCAGAAACGCTTCTATTCGTATGGCCCGTATGGCCTCCAACAATGCTGCTAAGCAAGTTGCTTCCAAGAGAGCTTTATCTGCTTTAGCTAACGCTGCTCGTCCAGTTGTTGCTAGAAAGTCAATTGCTCCAGCTGCTGCCCGTGGTGTTAAGACCATCAACTTCGGTGGTATGGATGAAATTGTCCACGAACGTGCTGACTGGCCAAGAGAAAAGTTGTTAGAGTACTTCAAGAACGATACTTTAGCTTTAATTGGTTACGGTTCCCAAGGTTACGGTCAAGGTTTAAACTTGAGAGACAATGGTTTAAACGTTATCATTGGTGTTAGAAAGGATGGTGCTTCATGGAAGGCTGCTATCGAAGATGGATGGGTTCCAGGTGAAAACTTGTTCGATGTTAACGAAGCCATCGGTAAGGGTACTTACATCATGAACTTGTTATCTGATGCTGCTCAATCTGAAACCTGGGAATCTATCAAGCCTCAACTTACTGAAGGTAAGACCTTATACTTCTCCCACGGTTTCTCCCCAGTTTTCAAGGAATTGACTCACGTCGAACCACCAACTAACATTGATGTCATCTTAGCTGCTCCAAAGGGTTCCGGTAGAACTGTCAGAACCTTATTCAAGGAAGGTAGAGGTATTAACTCTTCTTACGCTGTCTGGAACGATGTTACCGGTAAGGCTGAAGAAAAGGCTATCGCTTTAGCTGTTGCCATTGGTTCTGGTTACGTTTACCAAACTACTTTCGAAAGAGAAGTCAACTCCGATTTATACGGTGAAAGAGGTTGTTTAATGGGTGGTATCCACGGTATGTTCTTGGCTCAATACGAAGTCTTAAGAGAAAACGGCCACACCCCATCTGAAGCTTTCAACGAAACTGTCGAAGAAGCCACTCAATCCTTATATCCATTAGTTGGTAAGTACGGTATGGACTACATGTACGATGCTTGTTCCACCACTGCCAGAAGAGGTGCTTTAGACTGGTACCCAAGATTCAAGGATGCCTTGAAGCCAGTTTTCACCGACTTGTACGAATCTGTCAAGAATGGTACCGAAACCCAAAGATCTCTTGACTTCAACTCTCAACCAGACTACCGTGCTAGATTAGAAGAAGAATTACAAACCATCAGAAACATGGAAATCTGGAAAGTCGGTAAGGAAGTTAGAAAGTTACGTCCAGAAAACCAATAGGTTATTTGTGCGTGAGCTCTGCTTCTAAATCATGATTTTTACTTTGTTCATAATGGTCTTTAAAGAATGACTTAATGACTTTAGTAAGAATGAAATTTCAATTCTAATACTTTAATATATCCAACTTTTTTTTCTTAGTATTTTTATTTATGGGTTAGGTTTTTCAAATCTTATTTTACATAGTTAGCATATAGGGACTTCTGTTTGTTGAATAAACATGTTCTGATATTAAATATCACTCTGTAAACTAGTGGAAGAAACCTTTTTCGTTCAAAAGCTCTTTTGAGCTCCAATTCTCAAGGTTAGATGCTCTAGTACATCCTTAATGGCTTGACTAATTTAGAACTATGTTCTACGAATATTGGTTCATATTCTTGTATGTATTTGGGATGCACGTTATCAATATGCGTCAAGTTTAATATCTGCGACATTCAGACAAAATTGACCAAAGAAGTAACTCTCGGCCGTGGGTGTTGATATTAATTGCAATTTTCATGTAAATCGAAAACTAACGACCAATTTTTACCATTTATATTCATTCATAATGGAAATAGTTACCATAGATAGCTTTAATTGTAAGAGCGGGCACCAGAAGAAAAGGCGGAGACCTGTTAAGCTGTGTTTGGCTTGCAGAATGAGGAAAAGTAAGTGCGATTTGAAGAGGCCCACTTGTACAAGTTGTCTTGTAAAAGGTCTCAAGAACTGCAAATATGGAGAGTCATCAACGTATTCGGTAAAACTAGGAGATGATGAAGTTGATGTTCTTAAGGAAGAAAATGAACGCCTAAAGCTGACGATAAAACAATTGAAACGCCAAATAAGCTCACCTTCTCCAAGTCCTATATCGGAGTATGCTAATGGAGCTGAAGCAGATAAATACAATTTTATCGTTTCAAAATCTAGTCGGACAGTATTCTATGGTCCGACTTCATTCAGGTTTGTCTTTCAAACTCCGATAGTTTTCGATTACTATATTTCAATCAAGAGGGCCCTTAAAGCGGACAGAAACGCTTGGAAGATTAAAAATAGACCCAAGTCATGGTTTGATAAGCTATATTCGGGAACAAGCGAGCTTTTAATGGATATTCAAAACTTCCTTCCGTCACATAAAGTTGTATCAGGATATTTATTGCAATTTTTTGATGGGTTTTGGTTCAAGTTATTGCCTATAGTTGATCGAGACGTCATTTTGCAAGTATTTAGAAAGCAGTTTAAGGAATCAGATAATAAGTTGAATATTGAAATAGCATTTCCACAGAATTCAATTGAGTTTGCAAATATTGCAGTTGTTATAACTATCTTGAAATTCTCCCTTAATTCAGAAACTTACCTGCCTGGAGCAGTGTCTTATAGGTTTAAGGATGAATATGACATTCTACTAAAATTTGCTACAAGACTATTAGATAATGCAAACTACTTGGAAAAAGCCTCTTTATCGTCGCTACAAGCCTTATTTTTGTTACGTATTTTTAAAAAGTTTAACTTCAAAGATGGAGATGGAGGTGACGGAAGCAATGGGAACATTCTTTTTGCAATTTGTCTAGAAATGGCATATACCTTAGGTTTAAATCAAAATATTGATATGCTATATAAAGAAGAATCACAGAATTATAGAACAATTTTGAAAAACCTTTGGAAGTATTTACTACAATACGATGCTATTAATTCATTTGATCTTGGGGTACCATTGCATATTTCAGATAGTTGTTTAAGAGAAGAATTTTTGGATTCCGATGACATCATTATCAAAACAATTCTCAAAAAGAGAGAAATAATAAATATATTCTTATCGCCAAAGTTCACGTATCACGATATTGGAAATATTTTAAATGAAATAAGGTGTTTTATAGACCAGAACTTTAGAACAGTTTTTGAGTTAATTCAGGATTTTGAAGATGCATCTAACTTAGAAGACTCGTACAATGCTATTAATCAATTCATTCTATCAATTTCCTTAATTGCAATGAAGCAACATTGTTATTCACTTTTATACAATGAATTGAAAGACACTAATAAGGAGTTGAGTAGTCGGTCTCATGATTTAGGAATCAAATATACTACCTTAATGATAGTCTCATCTGCGGAACTTTTTAAACGAACACACATTTCAAGTATGGAATTATCTTCAACTCCGATTTCAAACCAAATTCACAATTTCATTGCAGGAATGACAACCCAATGTATGGTTAGAGCATTCGTATTTTATGTATTCTTATTACTCTCTTTTGTTAAACTACTGAAAGATCTGGCCTTCAAAAATATAATGGACAATCATATTACCTTGAGACTATCTGAACTTGCAGATCCTGATAACGAAGTTGATGGTATTGTCGAAGAAGAATTTTCAGATAATACAGCATTGGTTTCATTGAATGTAATTATAAGTCGCTACATGAATATGCTCATTTACCTAGAAACAAATGGCAATGAAAGAGAGAAGCTTGCAACCAAAGTTCAAAATTATAGTTTGTTCATAGTAAATACTTCGTTGAACCATTTTAAACTGTTGATTGCACAGGATGATGATTTCAAATCACTAATGTCTTTCGATCAGAATAATTTGCATATAGTTTATGATTCGATGCAAGAATCGTTTCCGACCCATGTGTACGTCGCTGAGAATGTTAGCTCTATTCCAACCTTGGATATATTCAGTGAAAACGGGCTTAATGCATCAGCGGATGCCATCAACTTGGATATTTACGACTTTTTGCTGATATAGCATGTAATCTACCGGTTAGTCAATAACTGAGGAAATAATCATATGTATATATTGTCAAGATTCAGAGTAAATCAGGTTAAACACTCCGTGTCTAGAAGTCCATCCTATTATCTTAAAGGAAAATAATAAACAGTACCCTTGAAACAACCATAGTAATATAACCACGAAAATATATATTCAAGCTCACCTTATTTCTCTATATTGCCTAGTGATTCAATTTGGATGCGAAATATCGGCAACTGGATAGGCAGAGCCGATTTTCGACACTTTAACAACGTGGTTTTTTCCCATATCCACAACCATTGAATTATTATGTCTAATTTGCCCCCAGAACCGACGGCTCAGACCACACAAGACAAACTCACATCCTTTGGTTCCTATTCCTAATGGTATACTATAGTGGTTGCGTGGTGCACATTTAAACCTGCACATAAATTATACTTCGTTACAGCTGAGATAAGCCCTAATCGGGGCCTTTAACACGTGAATGAGCATTTCGAGTCACAGAGAACTTCGACGATTTTTGAGATTAGTGTCGTGGCCAATTCCGGCAGACCAGCCGACACCAACCGGGAACAGCAAAGGTACAAAAACGTGACAGAAATAAAATTCGAGGGCACACCGACCACCGGATATGGTGTAGACATAGCGAGTAGGTGAAAAATTATTTCATCGTACTATGTATAAGTGGATTTCATTTTTCAGTTCTTTTCAGATTATATAGAATTATCATTGTAAAATGGCTGTTGGTAAGAATAAGAGATTGTCCAAGGGTAAGAAAGGTTTGAAGAAGAAGGTCATCGACCCATTCACCAAGAAAGAATGGTTTGACATTAAGGCCCCATCTACCTTCGAAAACAGAGCTGTTGGTAAGACTTTAATTAACAGATCCACTGGTT